AAAAAAAAAAAGACACTCTTGAGTAATTTGATGAAATTATTGTTTTGTACTATAGCAGACCTTAGTTCCAGGTTTGTTCTTCCTGCTCTCCAGATTTATTCGGTCTGGATACATATGGAATGGACTTATGTGGGGTAATTTGCTAATTGGTACCGGTATGTTTATGACTTTTTACAGTCAAGAATGGTATTCACGACATCGATGTCCGCCAGTATTCCAAAATCAGCTTATTGACATCCTAGTTCCTCGACACTGGTTTTGTACCTATGATACATTTTATGCAAATGAAGTGATTGGCTTACAAAATTATAAAAATTTTTCTTGACAAGAAAATGAAAGATTGCAAAAGAAATTTTCAGTTAATATCAAAATATTTCTGCTATACTGATCAACTTAATTTCAACTGTGTATTTACTTTGTTTATTTGTTACATAAATAGATATTTATTGCTCAAGTTTTGTTCATTCATTTATTTTTTTTTACTTGTTAATCATTAATAATTTCAGCAATTAAACATTACTGTGTTTTTCTGTAAGAGTGAATTAGAATTCAAACTGAAGATTAGTAAGAAGTAGAGAAACTGAGAAGAAGAAATGAAAAATTTTGCTTCAAAAGTCAAATGTCAAAAACGAAAAACTGACAAAACCAATCAAATAAATAAATTTTTTTGCAGATTCTTGACGATCTTTTTTTTTGTTCTGTAAGTTAAATATTTCTGTTGTTTCTCTACGTTTTTCTTTGCTCAATAGTTTATACTTCTATCGTTTTATGTTGTTCGTCGTGGCTTATTTGTTATGCATAAATATATATAAAAAATACAGATTTAGCTGTCATCTATGTACTTTTTTGTCTTTTCATTTTGAATCTAAAATTTTTGCGAAGTAAAAAAAATTACTAAAAGAAAATTGGCAGTACCAGTGGTGACTGTTTTTTTGTGGATGGTTTATCTGTCATTAGCACAAAATATACTGAATGATTACGGTTAATCAGTAATGGAACTCGAGTAAATTTAATAGAAACAGAAGCAATAAAGTTTGCAAAATGTACAAGTATTTATTTAACAGAAAGCACTGAAAAATTAAGAAGCAGTGAAGTATTGAAATGACGAAGAACAGCGGAAATATAGAATAATTTAGTGGTATACCACATGTATCTTCTCGAGATTATTCATTTTCTTTATTCCATTACTGTTGCTTTTTATGCTTCTTCTTTTTCTTTCTCTTCTCTCTATTTTTTCTAATGTCAAATTGCAAAATAAAAAAGAAGAAGAGGAAAAAAAAGAGAATATACACATAAAACTGGTCATTTGTTGTTAACCAAAAATTTTTTATGCTGGTCAAATGATGGACAGATAATTGGCTATTGTCGTAATGTTTGATACATTTTGACAATAATTTTCCTTCTAGTCTCATTTTCTCTCTTTTTGTTTTTTGTTCTTTTTAGAAGATACATGTAAAATAACATAATAGCTATTAAGGAGAAAAAAAAAAAGAATGAATGACTGAATGTTAGTGTTCAATGAAGTTTTTTTTTGCTGATTACAACACAAGTGGCAATAGCAAAAAAGACAGCAGGAGAGGAAACAGGAAAAGAAATATTAAATAAATGTTATGTTGTTCTTCATTGGGGTATAAATCTAGCAAATTTTACTAACTTAAGACTGTAAAATGTGCATGGAAAAGACGGACACAGACAGATAAAGCTGGATATTTATCATAACTTTTCAACGCTGTTTACATGACGTTTTTAGTTCGTTTTTATTCAACAGCAGACAAATAATGAATGTTGTCAAAATCAAGTGATGAAAAAATGTGATGTAACCGGAAAAAAAACACTGGACTTTTTGTTTCTTTAAAAAATTAAATTGTTGATGAATAATGTTATCTGAAAAATGGTTTTTTTTTTATTCAAAGATACCGAATAGCATATGAATGAAAAAACTTTCCTACCAATTAACATATCCCATTGATTGTTCTCATGAATGTTTGCAGATTTTTTTGCCCATTAAAAAAAGCGGAAAATGCAGAAGGAAAGAG